CTTATTAACATGAGGAACCTAGAATGGAACATATTACCAGATCATGGTTTTATCAGACTACATTGAGAATACTATTTCCTGGGGCAGCTAGGTGGCGTAGTGGACAGAGCACTGGCCCTGAAGTCAGGAGGATCTGAGTTCAAATACGGCCTCAGACCAAACACTTGACACTTACTAGCTGTGTGACTCTGGGTGAGTCACTTAACCCCAATTGCCTTAAAAAAAAAAACAAAAGAAAGAGAATATTATTTCCCATAATCTAAACATCATTTCTTTATTGACACAATCTAAGAATGTGCTATCTTTTTTAGAAGTCTGGTTATACTTTGGGTTTGTATTTAAGCTCCCTGTCAATTAAATTCCCCAGGTCTTTCTCACATGAACCAAGTCTCATGGATCCTGAACATGTGCAGCAAACATTTTTAGGTCTAAATGAAGACTTTACATTTACCCTCATTAAATATAATCTTGTTAGTTTCAGTTCATTTTTTTGGCTAGTCAAGACCTTTCTGAATTCTGATTTTCATCAGCTCATCCAGCACACTTATCCCTTCCAGCTTTCCATTATCTGCAAATTTTCTATGTTTATTTTTATCCAAGTCATTTAAAAAAAGGGTACAAATAAGTGGCATCAGGACAGAGCCCTGTGACATACCACTGCTTCCTTATTCCAGGTGAACAGTGATTGTTTGTTGTTCAGTCCTGTCTGACTCTTCATAGCCCCATTTGGCAAAGATACTAGAGTACTTGCTGTTTCCTTCTCCAGCTCATTTTACAGAGAGGAATTGAGGCAAACAGGATTAAGTGACTTGCCCAGGGTCAAACAGCTAGTAAGTATCTGAGGCTGGATTTGAACTCAGGAAGATGAGTCTTTTTGATTCTAAGCCCAGTGCTCTACACCACTTTGCTGCCCCTTAACAGTGACTGGTTAACCAATATTCCCATATGATCCCAAATCAAACTTAACTATTATTCAGTTCACATTCCTTTATCTTGTTCACAAAGCTATACTGCAAGAACCTCTGCACGTATCTTGCTAAAATCAAGTTACACGTATCTGTGGCATCCCCTTATGATCTAACACTCTAGCAACCTGGAAATGAGATTAGCTTGGCATGAAGACTTATTCTGTCTTGACCTCACTATTAAGTGAATAATTCTTGTTTGTTTGTTTGTTTTATTTTAGGCAATTGGGGTTAACTGACTTGCCCAGGGTCACACAGCTAGTAAGCGTCAAGTGTTTGGTCTGAGGCCGGATTTGAACTCAGGTCTTCCTGACTTCAGGGCCAGTGCTCTATCCATTGTGCCACCTAGCTGCCCCTTAAGTGAATAATTCTTAAGGGCAGAGAAGCTGATAACTGAATTCTTTGAATTCAGGAAATGACACTGTTTCTAAAAGACTAAACTTAAAAAGGTTTTTTGCCACCTGGAGATGTGGCAGACATCATGTTAACTAAAATGTGAATCTGGATTAATTAGAAATTTTTAAAAATTACACCTGTACCTACACCTGTTCTGGGTGCCTGGAATCATGCATACAGTGGAGAGGCATAGAAAGATTAAGAGGATGTGTGTTACCTAATTATGTTCAGCACTTAGCAGCAGTTATAGATTCCTAAAAGTCTATTTTGATGGTATCTGAATCTAAAATCTCTTAGCATATTTTCTCTGAAAACCAAGCAAGAAGAGATTTAATTCAACATTCCCCTTTTCACAGTTTCATGATGTGACATACTTCACACTTACACAATGGCTCTTCTGTCCAACTAGCATATAAATTACGTTCCCTCACCAGCTTCCGAAAGCTAGGCTATTTCTGATGTCAGTAATACAACTGGTATCATATATGTTCTTTATTTCTGGGTTGGTTCCAGTTGGAATGGGTTCACAACTTGGTCTTGAAATGTCTAGAAATTCTGCTGTCTTTAAATATAGGGAGAATAGTTTCAATTGCTGTTAAACAACAAAAACATGGGAAAGGTTTTTACCACACTTAACACAGTAATGCACCAATTCACATTTTTTTTCTTAAAAAACATATTAGAAATTTACAGCAGTTCTCCTTGCAGCAGCTAAGAATGGGAAATTGAGGGAATGCTCATCAACTGGGGAATAGCTGAACAAGTTGTGGTATATGATTGTAATAGAACATTACTGTGCCATAAGAAATGATGAGCAGAATGATTTCAGAAAAACTTGGAAAGACTTACATGAGCTGATACAGAGTGAAGTGAGCAGAACCAGGAGTGCACTGTATATGCACTAAGAGCTATATTGTATGATGAACAACTATGAATGACTTAGGTATTCTCAGCAATACAATGATCCAAGAAAATTCCAAAGGTCTCATGATAAAAAATACTATCTGCCTCCAGAGAAAGAACTAATGGTGTCTGAATACAGTACTAAAGCATGTGATTTTTCATTTTTTTTCTCCTTTCCTTTCTTTTTTTGTTTTGAGTTTTTCCCACAAAATGACTAATACGGAAATGTTTTGCAAGATTACAAATGTATAACCTGTATCAGAATGCTTACCATCTCAGGGAGGGAAAGGGATAGAATTTGGAACTCAAAACTTAACAATGAATGTTAAAAATTATTTTTACATGTAATTGGAGAAAAAATAAAATATTAAAAACTATTAGAAGCTTTAGTCTTATTCAAGTTGTAGAGCTTCTTAATGAACTTTAATGAACATTTCTTAAGCACCTATTAAGTGCTAAGCACTGTGGTAAGCAATAGGTGAGAAACAAAGATTTTCCAATGATAAGAGTTCCTATTCTCTTTTTTTCCCTTTTTTTTTCTTTTCGGTAAGGCAATTAGGCTTAAGTGACTTGCCCAGGATCACACAGCTAGTAATTGTCAAACATTTGAGGCCAAATTTGAACTCAGGTCCTCCTGACTCCAAGGCCAGAGCTCTATACACTGTGCCACCTAGCTACCCCAAGAGTTCCTATTCTCATGAAGCTCACAATCTAGGAAAATAAAACACACAAATAACTATAATATAAACTACATATGCATGCAATAGTGGTTCAAACCAATGTTATGTGAGGCTTAAGAGGGGAAGAATTATTACTGACTAGGATTGATCTTGGAAGACTGTATGCAAACAACAATGTTTAAGTTCTGCCTTAAAGAATGGGTAGGATTTCAACAAGGTGAGATCAGAGACCCTGAAAAGGCACTGTAAGCACAGAAAATAGCTTGAGCAAAGGAATCAAGATAAGATAGTGGGGGGGGCCTGTACAGGCTACTTTGTTTGCTTCCTGTTCCCAAGGCTCCTTCCTCACTCTGATTGGAGAAGGTGAAAGTAGGACACTGGAGAGCTCTTTCCTAATTCTCTACCTTTTAAGGAGAGCTCTCAAGGAATTCACCTCATCATTTCCTACCCAGCTGACCTATAATAGCCCTAAATTCAGGCCTCTGGACTTTGCTGTTTGGGGCTTTCTACAGGGCTCTAGAGGCCATCCCTGGACCAGACCCACTCTGCACTGCCACCACTTCCTGAGACATATCTCCACTTGTTCCTGCTGCTTCTTTGCACCTTTCTTTCCTGCAGTGAAACGGGCCTCCCAAGATCCTCACAAGACACAACCAACCTAATAATGATAATAGCGAACATGTACATAGTGCTGACTATGTGCTAGGCACTGGACTAAGTGCTTTATACACAAAATCTCATTTGATACTCACAACTACCCTGGAAGGAGATACAATTATTATCCCTAATTTACAATTGAGGAAACTGAGGCAGACAGAGGTTAAGTGACTTGTCCAGGCTCACATAATTAGCAAGTGTCTGAAGCTAGATATGAACACAGATGTTCCTGACTTCAGGCCTAGTGTTCTAACGACTGGGTCACCTAGCTGCCATGAGGTTAGACCTCAAGGAAGGACTCTAAGCAATCTAATCATCAGCCTCTCTCTACAGACCTCTCAATGGTTAGCATACTCCACTACCCCTAACTCTGCCCATCCCAAGGTTTTTGATCCTCACACAAACCATCTCTTCACTTCCTTCCTTCTCACTGTCTCTCATGCTGGGAATGCTCTTGCCTCACCTTTTGCTTCTTGGCTTCCCTAGCTTTCTTTCAAGACTCAGCTCAGATCCCACCTTCTGCAGGAGGTCTTTCCTGGAAGTCTTTCCTTTTCCTGGACTCCCCCCAATACCTCCCATTTGCACAGTATATATTTTCTGTGTAGTTATTTGCATGGTGTTTCTCCCATCAGAACAAAAGTTCCCAGAGGGCAGGGGCTGGTTGTTTTTTTTTTTTTTGCCTTTCTTTCTACCTCCAGTGAATCCTTTCTACCCTAAGTACATTGCCTAGGAGCACATAGTAAGCATTTACTAAATGCTTGTTGACTGAATGACTAACCAAGAGCCCTGACCCCAGATATCAAAGCCTCTTTTTCCTCCATGCTGTATGCGTGTGTGTGTGTGTGTGTGTGTGTGTGTGTGTGTGTGTGTGTGTGTGTATGTGTGTGTGTATCTTCCCATCCCCACCACCCACACCTCCCCATTATGGAGAACATTTTTTCTCTCTTTGTACAGGACTCCATATCACAGACTGTTTTCCTTTTCTTCTGATTTTTTTTTCTTTTAAACTCAGTCCAGTCCTCATTGTTGATGTAGAAATAAATTATATTAAAAAATACTAAAGTCCATGAAGATGGAAGATGATAAATGATGATAAATGAGAAAGAATGTGCTAAGGTCATAGAGGAATTTAGGAAGTTGGATAGAGGCTAGGAGATAACAGCAATAAAAAGGGAGAAGGAGTAGTATAGTTACTTAAAAATGTCACTTTCGGAAGAAATGTCTTATTAACCCCTGTTATTTTTCTTTTATCTTCACCCCCCAAGTATAAAAGTTTCTAGAGAGGAAAGACATCTACTTCATAATAATAAAACCTAGATCACATAAAAGATGCCATCTTAACAACAGTTCATCAGCCACTCATATTACTTGGGGAAATATATGAAACATTTTAAAATACCTAGCCAGAGGGGAGCGGAATGCTGTAGCTGGTGTAGGAAAATCCATGGTCTGTGATACCAGCACTGGTTTTCCTGGAATAAACTTCAAACTGTTCGGGTTGGGGGTATCCTGTGTTTGAATAAACATGCATCGCACTGAAAGATTAAAGAAAGAAAAATACGTTATTCTGGAAAAAAAAGTCACTAAAAAGTTCAATGTTTTTCAAATTTTCCTTTAAGAACTCTAATATTCTCAAAGCTAGACTATATCCAATAGTTATCCAATAGACTCTGAATAACCCTGTAATTAAAGAATCCTTGGTCATTCTGTAGAGTGGCTTTAACACAATATTTTGGCATCTTGTCTCACTCCACTCAAATATCCTCTCTATAAATCTGATCCTGAAGCAAAATGCTTCACTCTATTCTGTCTAAACCAGCATACTTCCTTTAAAGAAGACATATTAAGATTAGCAGTTTAATACTGAGAACATTTATAAGTGAGAATGCAAACTGCTTTCTGGACTCTTGGTTTCAGAGAATCAGGATGATTTCTATCTTTTACTGTTTCTTCCAGTTCCTACATTAGGTTGAAAATGGATTTACTTCTGGTCATAAAGAAAAAACTGCAATTTTCATTTCCTATCTTGCAATTATGACAACTAACAGGATGAAATGATGAATCAAGAATTCATAGTATTAAATTGTCGCTCCAGGTACCCATCATGACAACAATTCTTTTGAAAAAAACAGAATCAAAACTATCCTAGGGAGATGGTGAGATAGCAAGGTAACAACACACTTTATTTTAAGCTTAAAACGAAGACTATTTGGCAAGAGATGTGGTTGCCATGGAAATGCTCTATATTCACCATTCTGAAAATACTCTCAATTTGTCAGCTTGTGGTATCTTGACCCTTTCTCCTTATTTCAGAGGAGAAGAGGAAGGAATGGATGTGAGGGAATGAGGGGAGTCGGAGAGTCCAGAGAGGTATCTGTTATTATTTACTATTTGTTTTAATTCTGTATTGAAGGGGTATTTGAGGAAACTAGTCCCACTGGAAAGGGAATTGGAAGATGGCTCATCTACACAAATACAAGAAGGAGGATAAAGAAAACAGCTGAAACAGAAAAAGGTCTTACTTTTCTTCATCAATCATATTAAGTAGGTCCAATGCAAAATAATACTATCTAATCTCAACTGGGGCCTTCTTTTACAGGGCAATTCTTTTAATCAGCTCTTATGGATTCTTTATCAATCACACTCTTCACAGAAGCTCTTCCAAATCATCTTCTCTCCTCAAATACCCAAATGCCACCTCTTCCTACCTCATTCTTAGCAAATAATTTTATATACTACTTTACTGAGAAGACTGAGACCATTAGAGGTAAATTGCCTACTTCTATCCTACATTTTTTTATATTACTACATCCTCTTTCCTCCTTCCCTCTTGTCTCAAGGAAACAGGTAGCTTTCCTTTTTGTTAAAGTTAACCCCTTTACTTGTATCTTCAATCTCATATTAGTCTATCCCCTCCAATACCTTACTCCTCCAATAATTCCTGGATCTCCTTTCCAAAATCCACTTCAACTTTTCCCTCTCCACAGCCTACCAAATAAAATAGGAATTCCTCAAGCTGGCTTGCAAAGTTCACAAAAATATGCCTCCAGCTAGCCTTATTTCACAGTAGTCTATGCTCCAGATGAGCTATAATTGTGCAATGATTGTGTCCTGACTCCTGCCAGTTGCAATCGTTTGTGCACCCCTCTGACCTCGCCTCTGTGCCTGAAATAGACTTCCTTATGTGTCTATTAATATTAACCCCTTCTTTCAAGGCTCAGCTTAGGCGTGAAGCTTTTTTTGACACTCCCCAAGCTAAAGTGGTCCTTTTCTTCTTAAATCTCTCATTATACTTTTTGACTTCTACACACTTAACATTTTCAATTCTCATACTAACTGACTGTCTGAAATTTTTCACATTGTTGACCACTTCTCTCACTACATACCCTTGCCTCTATCAGCTTCAGAGATACTAGATGTTCTTTGTTCTCCTCGTACCTCACTAATCACTTCTTTCTCATCATTTTTGAAGGCTTTTCACATTATTCCTAACACCCTAATGTAAGTGTTTCCCAAAGTCTATCCTTGGTCCTCTTTTCTTCATGTACTCTCTCACTGACAACCTTATTTATTCCTATGACTTTAATATCACTTCTATGAAGATGACTCCCAAATGCTTATCTTTAATCCTGACCTCCCTCAGAGCTCCAGATTTCAGTCTCAAACTTTTTCCTGCCCAGATACACCTGGATGTCCTATCAGCACCTAAAACCTAGCTCATCACTTCAGATATGTTGTACAATAGACAGAGCATGGACTGGGAGTCAAGAAAACATGGGTTCAAATTCTACCTTGGACACTTGATATTTGTATGTGTCTAGGCAAGTCACTTAAGTCTGTCAGTTTCCAGGGGCAGCTAGGTGCCTCAGTGAATAGAGTACTGGTCCTGGGGTCAGGAGTAACTGAGTTCAAATCCTGCCTTATCGACACTTGACACTAGCCTGACTGCCTCACAAAAAACCCCAAAACCAAAACAAAAACAAAGTTAGTCCATTTCCTTATCTGTAAAATGAAGATGTCTCCTTGTTCTAAATTTATGATTCTATGAGACTCTCCCCAACTCCAATTCTTATTCTGACTAGCATCTGTCCAGTGGCATCCCCATTCGCCTATTCAGAGGCTACTGTTTTATCTGATTTTCCCTTACCCTTCTCCAAACCAGCTTACTGGATGGTGAAAACAAACAGCAAATAGTACAACTTGTTCACCAATGGTAAGAGTCAAGAAGCTAATGGAACCGGACCTACAAAATTAAGACATCTAACTGAATTTCTGTCAAATCATGGTATTATTCTATATTCATGTTTAAGGTATTCTGTGACTACAAGAAATAGGATAGTCTAGAAAATAAAATACTCATTTTCCTGTCCAAATCTTCTTTCCCTAATGAGACAGTTGGCGGCACACAGATAGAGCACAGGGCCTGCAGTCAGCAAGACTTGAATTCAAATGCAGCCTCAGACACTTACAAATTGTGTGACCCTGGGCAAGTTATTTAACATTTTTGCCTCAGTTTCCTCAACTGTAACAATGGGGATAATAACGACCCCTACCTTGCAAGGCTGTTGTGAGGAACAAACAAGATAACATTTGTAAAAAGCACTTAGCACAGTGTTCAGCTTAATGAATGCTTATTCTCTAATTTTTACACACATACACACACACACACACACACACACACACACACACTACATCACATATATACATATTATATACATATATATATGTATGTATATGCAAACTCATAGTTCTATTGCCTTTTAACAAGTTGCCACCTGGAATATACAACTAATAAAGTATTAAAGGTAGCAGAAAGTATCAAGGGAAAGCACATATAAAGAAAAATTCCAGGTATTAGGGCATACAACAAAATTATTATTGGACAATTGCCCAGTGAAGAAAATGCTAAAAAAAAAATCCATGAAATGGACAAGGGGGCTTGTCTCTCAAGTGTCTTTACAACTCTTAACTACAATCCCATAAAATAATGCACTTTTTATGTATCTCTAAATTAAAAAAAAATTCAACTTATTCTCTTATGTTGAAGAAAGTCAGTACAGTTCAATCAAGTTTTATGAAACTCAGTTTATATTAAAAGGAAAATTTTACCTGTGTTATATAATGCTGTGAATGGAGGCAAAGGTGGTCTTTGTACAAACTGATGCAGAGGCTGCTTCCTAGTATTGTTCGTATTTAGCTTTATGTTACAAAATCTAAAATTAAAAAAAGAAATCACATCTGAGTTTCAACTTAAGGTTAAAAAAAGACATAAAACTGAAAAGTAATAAGCAATGTAAAGTATTAAAATCACAATAATTATGGGCCTTTCTTTTCATTTCATATCATAATATTTCCGCACAAAGTCCTATGCCAATGCCTTACTGAAGTGTGAAGGTAACCAGGGTTTTCAAAGGTTATGTCAGTGGAACATATGGTGTGGCAAATTCTATAATCTTGTAAAAGGCTTCATAAACAGTCCAGACAATTGACAACGTCTATTTTTGGAGGACCAATATAGCTAAGTATAGCGAGGCACATCACCAGTATGCTGGCCACCTAATAAGGAAATTTTTGGCCATGGTAACCCACGGAATAAAGAAAAATAAAAAGTAGTTTCAGTTCTACTTCTAGGGGTGACAGAGTAGCAGGAAAAGGGGTAGAGGATAAGAATCACACAATGTTCAGACTGTCAACAAATTTTAACCTATCAGTACTCTAATTGTGAGATCCTTTTGCAATGAACTGGATGTGTTGCTGAGGTGGTGAATTATATGTACTGACATTCTGGGCTATAAACAAAAGCAGAACATTGCAGCTAAATGGAAGGCTGACTCAGAGTTATTCCTTGGAGAGGCAAAGAAAGGGGTGAGTAGGACTAGGTATACTCAAAGGCAATAAGAAACATTATTTCCTGGGACAGTTGGTCAACATGTATTGCAGTACTAACTGATAACTATTTTAAAAAAGACTACCATGAAACTAATTGCAGCTTTTGTATCAACATCAGTTGCTAAAGATGAAGATGTAAAGAAATTCTATAATGAATTTCTTAATGCCTTCCAAATTAAATCAGCATTATGTTAATACTTGGTGATGATGACTTCAATGCAACAATGGGAAAAAGTAAGAACAGGGAGAAATAAATGTGAAAGCATTATTCAGGAAGACAGAATGAGAAAGTCAAAGAATCCTATGACTTTATATAATGAATATTTTCTTTGAAAAATGTTTTCACAAATAATGGCCACAGTAAGTGTTTAAATAACACTACAAGAATCAAACATATTGTTATTGATGTACTGATATGGGAGTTATCCTTGAGTTAGCTAACACCATTGACTCATCAGAGCTAATAAGAGAATTACGTTTTTGGTTTGTTTTTTTTTTAAAGAAAGAATGAGAAAAAAGATATAACTGAAATAACTTAATCTTGATGTTTAAACAAGCGACTAGACAACAGAAAACGGGAAATGGCCAACCAAACTGACATTGACATTAATTATAATTTTATCCAGAAGTTTAACCAATGTAAATTAATTGCTATAAGAAGACCAATAAAGCCCAGAATGCACCTTGGTCATCATAAGACTTACCTGCTAAGACTTATCTACCAAAAACAGACAAACAACTACGAAAGGTAACACTAGATTAGAATATAAATTTGTTTGTAAAATCTCACAAAGAAGTAAAATGGATGATTATGAATAGTATAGGCTCAGAAAGCAGAGAGGAGGGTAAAACCAGATTAAGGAAAATTTGGCAACATACCCAACTAAGCAAAGTCATTTCACAGACATTTAAAGATGAAAATGGAAAAACAACAAGCAGGAAAAAAATGGAAAAACACTTGCAACAATCTCAACTTTTTTTCTATTAAGGACAATGGAATCACCACACTTGGACCTTAACAGCATAGCCCAGACTGTACTGGCAGAAAAAGGTGAAAAGATACTAAAGAGAAAAAAGATAGGGAAAGCAACTGGTTTAGACTAAGTGTATATAGGAGATTTCTACTGTAGGAGAGACAATCACAATGAAGAAAGACAATATACAAGTCATGCAAAAAAATCTTAGGCCCAAAAAGGTGACCAAGAAAATTATCAATGATTACTAACCTATATGCCTCCTTTCTCACCCGTACAAAATGACTTTGAGTCAGCTACACATGAATTGAAGGATTTCTTCATGAGAGTATTAGAAAGAAGCAAGGAGACTTTTGCAAGTGATATTCAACAATGTACCACATCTTTACCTTTTCATAATTAACTGAAAGATACAGAATACTTAAGATCCCTCTGAGCTTACCATTTGTTGATTTTGAAAAAGCATTGCATTTGGTAGAACAAAATGTTGCCCTATAGGCTCTTTTACAACAAAGTGTCTACTATCACTATATCAAAATCATTCAAGATCTCTTGAAATATACAACAAAAATAATCCTCTTCAATGACCCTCTGATCTAAACATCAGGTAAGGCATAAACAGGGAGATGTATGCTTGCCAGAGGAGTTCACCACCGTGATGGAGGAGATCCAACATAGAGTCCCAAGTTAAAGAGGGCCTCCTTGTGGATTGTGAGGTCTTTCAGAACGCTGTTTGTTGATACTGTGTTAATTGTACCCAATAGTGCAGAGCTTCCTGGAAAAGATCCAGGTTCTTCTCAGAATTAAAATTCTTGCTTCCCCCTACAGTAGCCAATTATCTATCCTAGATACCCTTCCCCAACACTTCTCTCCTCCTACCCCCCACACCCCAAATATAGTATAAATTCTAAGAATCAGAGAAATACTTTGTAGTGGTAGGAGCTATCAGAAACATTTACAAGGCAAGTCTATCCTTCCACAGATTTTGTATTGCATTAAATACAAGTCATTCAAAGCAGTTTGGTCTGACCATCCAGGCACATAGTATATGAAGTCCAAGTGTATGAAGAATGTTGCATTCAGATTAAAGCATGCAACTAAGTATGTTTATCTTGGGCACAGTTCAGATGGACAAGCTGGGCCTAGAGCTTAACAAGAGGAAAGTAAGCTGGATCACCTTCAGGAAATTGCAAAGGTACTTTAATGACCCCAAGCTCTGAAAGCAAAGATCCATCTTTTTAATGCTATTTTTCTACCAGTGTTGCTGTACAGGAGAGAGACATGAAATACAAGTCTTTAAAAAGTTAAAAATAGCTTTCATGCAATATCTAAAACCTTCAGCAAGCATTATATGTAATGGGGACAGGCTAGAAGCATTTCCAGTAAGACTGGGGGTGAAACAAGGATGTCCATTATCACCACTGTTATTCAGTATTGTACTGGAAACCTTAGCTTTAGCAATAAGAAAAAGAAATTGAAGGCATTAGAATAGGCAAAGAAGAAACAAAGCTATCACTCTTTGCAGATGACATGATGATATACTTAGAGAATCAAGTAAAAAACTACTTGAAATAATAAACAACTTTAGCAAAGTTGCAGGCTATAAAATAAACCCACATAAATCATCAGCATTTCTATATATTACCAACAAAGCCCAACAGCAAGAGATAGAAAGAGAAATCCCATTTAAACTTACTGCAGACATTATAAAATATTTAGGAGTCTACCTCCCGAAACAAACCCAGGAACTCTATGAACACAATTACAAAACACTTTTCACACAAATAAAATCAGATCTAAATAACTGGAAAAACATCAGTTGCTCATGGGTAGGCCGAGCTAATATAATAAAAATGACAATCCTACCTAAGCTAATTTACTTATTCAGTGCCATACCAAACTACCAAAACTACTTTACAGAGTTAGAAAAAATAATAACAAGATTCATTTGGAAGAGCAAAAGGTCCAGAATATCAAAGGAACTAATGAAAAGAAATGCAGGGGAAGGTGGCCTAGCAATTCCAGATCTTAAATTGTATTATAAAGCAGCAATCATCAAAACTGCTTGGTACTGGCTAAGAAATAGGGAGGTGGATCAGTGGAATAGGTTAAATATGCAAGACACAGTAGTCAATGACTATAGTAATCTATTATTTGATAAACCCAAAGACCCCAGCTTCTGGGATAAGAACCCACTCTTTGAAAAAAACTGCTGGGAAAACTGGAAAAGAGTATGGCAGAAACTAGGCATAGACCCAAATCTCACACCATATACCAAAATAAAGTCAAAATGGGTTCATGACTTAGATATAAAGGCTGATACCATAAGTAAACTGGGAGAACAAGGAATAGTTTACCTATCAGATCTATGGAGAACAGAAGAATTCATGACCAAACAGGAGATAGAGAACATTATGAAAAGCAAAATGGATAATTTTGATTACATTAAATTGAAAAGTTTTTGCACAAACAAAGCCAATGCAACTAAGATTAGAAGGAAGGTAGAAAATTGGGAAAGAATTTTTACAACCAGTCTCTCTGATAAAGGCCTCATTTCTAAAATATATAGAGAATTAAGACAAATTTATAAGAACACAAGCCATTCCCCAATTGATAAATGGTCAAAGGATATGAACAGACAGTTCTCAGATGAAGAAATTAAAGCCATCTATAGTCATATGAAAAAATGCTCTAAATCATTATTGATTAGAGAAATGCAAATCAAAACAACTCTGAGGTACCACATCACACCTATCAGATTGCCCAACATGACAAAACAGGAAAATGATAAATGTTGAGAAGAATGTGGGAAAATTGAACAACTAATACATTGTTGGTGGAGTTGTGAAATGATCCAACCATTTTGGAGAACAATTTGGAACTATGCCCAAAGGGCTACAAAAATGTGCATACCCTTTGATCCAGCAATAGCACTTCTAGGGCTATATCCCAAAGAGATCAAACAAATGGGAAAAGGACCCACATGTACAAAAATATTCATAGCAGCTCTTTTTGTGGTGGCAAAGAATTGGAAATTGAGAGGATGCCCATCAATTGGGGAATGGCTGAGCAAGTTGTGGTATATGAATGTAATGGAATACTATTGTGCTATAAGAAATGATGAACAGGCTGACTTCAGAAAAACCTGGAAAGACTTATATGGTCTGATGCTGAGTGAAGTGAGCAGAACCAAGAGGACTTTGTACACAATAACACACATTATGCAATGACTAATATTGTTAAACTGAACCCTTCTCAGCATTACGAGGATCTAAGACATCTCCAGAGGCCTCGGGATGGAAAATGCTGTCCACATCCAAAGAAAGAACTATGGAAGTCGAATCGCTATCACTTATTTTTACCTTCTGTTGAGTTTTGTTTCATCTTTCTGATGGTTCCTCCTATTGGTTTTAATTTTTACTTACAACTTCACTAATGTGAAAATATGTTTAATGGGTATGTAAATGTAAAGCCTATATCAGATTGTGCGCCGTCTTGGGGAGGGTGGGGGGGAGGAAAGGAGAGAAAAATTTTCAACTCAAAAGCATATGGAAGTGATTGTTGATAAATCAAAATAAATTAATAAAAAAAAATAGCTTTCATGCAGAGAGCGATGAAGAGGCTTAGAGTGTGAAGTCTGTAACACAGAACCCATAAAGAGCTCTGAAGAAAAGAGGCATAAAGGTCTCACACCAAGAAACAGTATTACAGAAAGAGAAGATGAATTGGTCATATGGAATAGGGATGACAAGTAGACAGTCAAAAGTGCTCTACTGTTAACCCTTATGTCAGGAAACAATGAGCAAAGCTCCTTGGGTAGACCCTTGTGTTGAATTTATGGAAGGAGAAGAGCAAGAGTCATGAAAGGTGGGAAGGCATGGATGGGTTGCGATCTGTAGTGCTGCAAGGAACTACCAAATCTCTGAAATCAGAGATCCATTTGAATATTAAATAATAATTCCAGTGACTAGGTATGCTAAACATTTATACAACTTACAAACAGGTATAACTCTAAATGAGATGCACATTCCATTATCAGTAGACTAAAAGTAATAATTGATAACTGGGAGCCCATAGGACTCTGATTACTAAAGTAGAAGTATACAACAAGGTTTTTCTAAGGGCAACATCCCCAACTATGAGATAAAAAAGGCAACAAATACATACTGTATATGTATGGCTAGACTATGTAGCTTCTTCTTAGAATTAAAATCCATGCTTCCCCGTACAGAAGCTATTTATCTTTTCCTTTTCAACCACGCCATTATGCCTTTATCCCAGGTCCCTCTTCCCAGCTTCCCAATATAGCAGACTCTTAAAAATTAGAGAGTATGCAATAGCAAGGGCTATCAGATACAATTTTGCTTTTCATAGATCTTGTATTAAATACAATAAATTACTCAAAAGTTATTTCACAAATTCACTAATGTGAACTGATCAAAAATATCGCTTGCCTCATTATATAGGGAATGCCATGAAAAGGAAAATCATGAAAACGTGCTTTGAATTCTCTAATCTATTATAAGAAAGTCAAGCTCAAAGTTAAGTTTCTCTCTCTCAGTCACTTCACCACCCATTAGTGGAGAGTATGCTGAATTCAGTACTTCGCTGTCTGTGGTTCTGTTGATGTTGATAATCCAAAGCAGTGAGGAGATAGCTGCTATGGCTGAAAAATTCATCAACCCATACCCATTTGGTAATGAAACTCTTCAAACTTACCTAGGGGGGTTCTTAGAAAATACACACATAATGTATCACCAGATCTGTTTTCAAAACCTTTTGGGCTTGGCAAGGCCTTTTCAGCTTGTGTCCTAACTACCATAGACTTTGGGAATCAGGGTCACTCATCTAGTTGGCTTTAAATGCCTTTTACAACCTGGCCCCAATCTACTGACCTTTCCAACCTTATTAAAGGTTATACTCCCCTTCCTTCTCTTGGTGATTAGACATTCCAGCCTTCTTTGTGTTCCACACACCCAACACTGTCCCCTACACCTGGAAAGCACTCCCTTCTTCCTTCCACCCATAAGAATTTCTATGTACTTCGAGATTTCATCTCAAGCACCACAGAGGGCTGGACCTGGAGTCAGGAAGACCTGAGCTCAAATCCAGTCTCAGACACTTACTAGCTATATGACCCTGGGCAAGTCACTTAAGCTCTGCCTCAGTTTCCTCATCTGTAAAAAGAAGATAATAGCATCTATCCTCCTGGGATTTGATCCTTGGGAGGATCAAATGAGATAACTGTAGAGTGCTAAGTGCATATTAAGCACTATATAAATGTGAGCTATTCTTAGTATTTGGAATAGTGATACCTGTGATGAACTTATACTTCTTGAACAGTTTCGGCATTAAAGTCCTGAATACCCAAAGATTTGCAGCAATAATGAGATGTCAAAGAAACACCTGATCAGTTGTCTTTGTTCTTCTCCACCACTAATAGCTAAACTGGTCAGCTGTTAAAGGAATTTTCAGTGCTACCTGTGTAAACATTTGTGGGTGTCATTAGCAGGCTTAGTAATAGGGTAGGAACTGGGAAGCAGGACGGAAAAAGAGTGGGTGTGGAATCAATACTGTCATAGAAATAATGCTGAGCAAGCAGTAAGGAAATCTGGTCCCTAGCCCAACATCAAGCATTAAATATCTGTGTGACGTCAGACAAATTATTTAACCTTGTCAAAGCATACTGCATACATTTCATTTGTACCAGCCCCGGGCCTGTTCTCAAAGCCTTTACAATCTGACAGAACCTGACAGAGCTTACACTCTGATGTGCCCAGCGTTAATCCCCATATCATGATGAAGCATCACAACCAGGCTTTATAAGAGGTACTATAGAGTCTTTTAAAAATTTTAATGAATTTCTGGGCTTCCATTTCCTCATCTATAAGATGATTAAGTGACTAGGCTTTGATTAGATGTTTCTTTTCTAGGTCTAAGATCATATTATTCTATGAGAAATTAACAGGTGGCATAAATGGTGGGAAAGAATGGCAAGATATATAAACTAGCACTTAAACACCATCCTATATAATTTTCTAATTAAAAAACATTTATTGTCTACCATATCTAAGTCTTTTCTCCCTTACTTAAGCTTTTCCTGGGTAGGGACTTCCCTTTACTTGAGCCATAAGGTGATACTGTAGCAAAATCATTGGCCTCGGTGTCAGAAGACCTTGTTCTGGGACTCAGCCCTGTCATTTACTGGATGATCTTAAGCAACTCATTTATCATTCACTCTTTGTGAGCCTAGGTCTTCTCATCTATAAAATGAGAGTAGTAATACTGGTACTAGCTACTTCACAGAATTTTTATAAGACTCAAATGATGTCATGCATATAATGAAGAATATAAACTACAAAGAATACAAACTATAATGAAGAATATTTATGTTACTACATAAATGAGGTATTATTACATTTTTTTCCTCATAATAATGTTTGGTAAATCCAAGCTGACTTGAGGTCCACTAATATTTCAGTTCAATCTCACAAAGATTTATTATCTAACTGCCTAGATATTGTGCTAGACGATGCGGATACAATCTAATTTTGGAGAGGGAAAGGGTTAGGTAATGAAGGGAGGAGATCAATCAACAAGTATTTTACTAAGTGACTACTATGTGCTAGACACTGTGTTGAGTGTTGGGAGATACAAAGACAGAACTGAATCAGTTCTGATCACAATAATAATAGCTAACATTTTCACAGTGCTTACTTATGTGCCAGGCACTCTACAAATATAATCTCATTTGATTATTATTATCTCCATCTTACAGATGAGGAAACTGAGCCAAACAGAGGTTCAGCGATTGGGGGGGGGGAAGTGTCGCACAGCTAGCATTTCAGGCCACATTTGCACTCAGGTCCTCCTGACTCTTGGATCAACACTTTATCCACTATGCCACCTTGTTGCCTGAGGAGGTTACATTCTATTGGGGGTAACATGTATATATGTAGGAATATAAAAATAGATACATGGTGATAGGGGTACAAGTAACTTATGAGAGAGTGAGAAATATTAAGAATAGGTTTAAACAGAAGTTCTGGAGGGAGAGACTATTTTTACCTGTGGAAAGTGGAAACTAAATTTCCTTTCAACTCTGAAATTATGTTCTAAGGAATTCTATCACTATTGTTCCTTCTGGCCCTGAAATTTGTTTTTAAGTCCCTTCCAGATGGGATCTTGCGTTGGCAGGTCTAACATTAAAGAATCTATTTTAAGGTCCTTACCAGCTCTTTTATTTTGTGTTATCTATATGCCAGGTTCCTTCTGGCTCTGACATTCTACATTCACAGTCCCTTCTATTTACAACGCTGTATTTTCTTTTTTAAGGCAATTGGGGTTAAGTGACTTGCCCTGGGTCACACAGCAAGTTAAGTGTCAAGTGTTTGGTCTGAGGCTGCATTTCAACTCAGGTCCCCCTGACTTCAGGGCCAGTGCTTTATCCACTGCACCACCTAGCTGCCCTCCAACATTGTATCTCTTAAGTTCTCTTCCAGCTCTGTCACTGTATGTTGCAGGGTTCCTTCCAATTTAATATCCTATTTGTTCTAAAGACCCTTCCACCTCTAAAATTTTGCATTCTAAGCAGACCCGCTTCCAGCCTGGATATAATTTGTATTCTAAGACCCTTTCCAGCTGCTCTTACGCCCTAATAGGTTCTCCCTGGCTCTAACATCTCTTACGTTCTAAGGCCCCCTGCAGCTGACAGTCCCCAGGGTCAGCAAACCCCGCCCCCACCCTCCAAATCGCGGCAGCAGCAAAGGGGCGGTACTGAAGGTCACGGTGCCGAGGTTCCAGGGAGAAGAGCGGAAGAGAACACCGCGGAAGCGGTCCCAGGCCACGCGACGCTCCGCGCAATGGAGCAAGGCGTGGCCGACGCGGCCCCGCCCCTCGAGGACGTCGCTTCCGCCTAGGAAGGGAGGGGGTGAGGAGGACAGAGGGGGCCGGGCGGGGGTTCCACTCACCCCGCCCCCCAGGAGGGCAGGGCAAACTCGAGGCTATGTCACTAGGAGACACGGCCGACCGCGGTATCTAGCCTGGGCGTGGTGGGGAGAAGGAAGCCCCCAGAGCAGTTTCAGGCTCACGTCCTCCCGTTCCCCGCTCGCGGGCTCCGAAAGCTTCACCTACCGCCCGCGCAGCCCAGCAAAAGCGGCTGCCGTTCCCGAAGCCAGCCGGCTGGCGGCCATCTTTGTTACTTGGCTACGCAGGTGTGGACGAGGACCTTCCCCCTCAGCCTTCTTCCAGAGTGGTAGGCCGTACCAGACGCCTGTTCAGAAAGGCAGGAAATGAAGACCGAACTTCCTTAAAGGACTAGGGCGGGGGAGCGGCATTGGAACCGACAGCCCTCTGCTGGTCAACTCAGAAATTGCAGGGCTCTGGGGGGAAAGTTGTGGCCCTGGTCAGCTGGGAACCACGTGGTTTTGTTGCTAGTTGTTTACCATGAATGAAAATGCAGACGCATAGCAAGACCGGGACAAATTTGTGTTCATCTCAGGTGCATCCTGAGTTAAATAGAACATAATATGGGAAAAGGCCATAGAGACAGAAAAGTTGGGAGATACGAATTGAAAACCTGCCTTAGACATTTAATAACCCTATTTTCCCAGCCTAAAGCTTCCCCCCGCCCCCCGTCTTCATATGTAAGATGAAGATGATTGTCCTCCTACCACTACCTCCCAGGGTTGTAGTGACGGAAGCGTTCTGGCAGGGGTGGGTTGGAGTTAGATGGAAGCAGCTAGCTCTATTGTTAAATGTTTAGCACGAGGAAATTGGATTGATTTATTGTTTGGTTGATTCTTATAATGGATAAAATGTTAATAATGCAGATGAAATGTTAAATTGTGAGATGCACATCTTTTTCCTCCAAAGGATCAATTGTTAAACATTTATCAGTACAAGCCTATCTGTAATTTGGAATGCTATGTAAATGAGAGCTATGATTATGATTGTTAGAGATGGTCAGGTTCTTCCCTTTTATTTATTTTTAAAATTAATTTATTTTGATTTATCAACAATCACTTCCATGTGATTTTGAGTTTAAAATTTTTCTCCCCCTTCCTTCCCACCACCCTCCCCAAGATGGCGCACAATAGGATATAGGCTATACATATACATTCCTATTAAACATTTTCACATTAGTGATGTTGTAAGGAAGAATTAGAACCAATAGGAGGAACAACCAGAAAGAGGAAACAAAACTCAACAGAAGAGGGAAAAAAATAGCAAATAGTATGCTCCAATCTGCATTCAAATTCCATAGTTCTTCCTTTGGATGTGGATAGCATTTTCCATCACGAGGCCTTTGGAGATGTCTTAGATACTTGTATTGCTGGGAAGGGTTAAGTTTATCAGTGTTAGTCATCGCACAACGTGGCTGTTGGTTCTGCTCCCTTCACTTGGTTCTCTTGGTTCTGCTCACTTCACTCAGCATCAGACCATACAAGTCTTTTCAGGTTTTTCTGAAATCAGCCTGTTCATCATTTCTTATAGTATGATAGTATTCCATTACATTCATATACCACAACTTGTTCAGCCATTCCCCAATTGATGGGCATCCTCTCAATTTCCAATTTTTTGCCACCACAGAAAGAGCTGCTATAAATATTTTTCTACACGTGGGTCAGGTTCTTCCTTTTATAGATGAACCTGAATTCAGGTTAGAGAGGTTAAAGATTTGCCCAGGTTCACATAGGTTATGCATAAAGGAGCTGAGATCCAAACCTAGGTCAGCTGGCTTGAAACCACTGTTTTCCACTGTCCCCTTTGGGTCCAGCTCCACCTCCACCTCCAGATGCCTAGTTTCCTGGTATCAAACCCTAGTGTAGCTTCCTAGTATATGCTAGTTTATAACCCTGGTCTTGATTAGCTAAATTGAGTCTACCACTTCCAACTGCCACCTCTTAGCCAGCATCCTCAAGTGAGATGACCTCAGACCACCCTCCAGAGTACCTTGGGTCTTCCATCTCTTGCTGGTTGAGATGTATCACCTGAGGGAAAGCTGCAAGTCGAATGGCTAGGTATCTTACATCTTGCAGAAAGCAATGACTTCCATCCAGCACAAGGCCACTTCCACCTCGGTATGTGAAAAGAAGAGCAAGCTATCCTCTGACTTCAGGCCTTCCATCTTCTATTGAACCTGTCCTTTGAGGAAAATAAAAGAGGAAGATTGGTGGGGAATGAGACTTCTTTCTCCTACTGTGTAGACTCAGTTTCCATCTCCAGCTGTGTCCTTGTCCTGCCTCATCTCCAGTCTCAGAAAGAAAAAGACTTGTGAAGCAGGGCCTCTCATCTGACCCTGTTCCTCCCATCTCATATTACATTTGCCTCCACCTAGATCTCTACCTTGAAGAAGAGGGACCTTCCACTGAATGATGAACATTCTCATACCTGTCATACTCTTCACATCCCAGTGATTCTGAACTCCAGTACGTCATCATCCAAATGCCATTCTCCATCCCTGCACCACCTAATTCCTCATGTCCATGTCCCTCAACACTCCCACTTCAGTGTTCCAACCAAATACCACTCAGCTCTTCCACTGTGCCTCTGGAATGCTTGTTCCATAGGCAACAAACTTCATCTTAAATCTGTTCCCTCCCATTCCTTCCATCTGCTAGCTCTTACTGAAACCTGGCTTCCCTCTGATGACACAGCCTCCCTGGCCACACTTTCCAATACTGGCTGTACCTTCACTCATTCTCCTTGGCTCTATGGTTGAGATGAGAATGTTCTTTGCTCCTCATCGTCACTTCCAGGTTCTTACCTCACCTCCATAGTTCAGTAATCACTCCTACTTGAGGTTCATGCTTCATATCTGCCACCCAATCAAAATTCTGGTAGCTGCGGTCTACAGATCTCCTCGGTCACTCCTCTTCCTTTTTCAATGAGTTTGAAACCTGGCTCACAATTTTCTTTCTTCTCCAACTCCTACCCTCACTCTAGAGGATTCCTATATACATACTGATTCTCTCTCAAATACCCTACCTGATCAGTTCCTATATCTACACACCTACCATGGTTTACTTCTCAGCCACACACAAAGATGGTCATACCCTTGATCTCACCGTTACCCACAAATGTACTACCTCTACAAGAATTCTGAAATCCCCTTATTCAACTATAATCTATTGGCTTTTCACCTCTCCTTCTGTATTTCCTTACAAAACCCTGTTCTTCTTGGACGTGGCAACCTCCAGTCTCTTGACCCTCAGTTCTCTCCCAGGTTATCTCCCTTGCACTTTCCTCTTTTCCCCATTTTGACCCCTTGGTGAACCAAAACAATTCTATACTGTCCTCCTCTCTTGAATCCCTAGCCCCCTTATCATATCACTGATTATACCTAGCCAACCCTCAGCCTTAAATCACTCCCACCATATTCAGTCTTTGTTCCTATGTGAGTATTGCTGATCAAAAATGGTGAAAATCATGGAATCATTCTGACTAGATCCACTACAAACTTATGTTACACAACCTTAACTGGGTCTTTACTGTTTCTAAGCAATCTTATTATACTTTAAAAAAAATTTTTTTAGGCAATTGGGGTTAAGTGACTTGCCCAGGGACACACAGCTAGTAAGTGTCAGGTGTTTGGTCTGAGGTCAGATTTGAACTCAGGTCCTCCTGACTTCAGGGCCAGTGCTCTATCCACTAGGCAACCTAGCTGCCCCATGTTGTACCTCTTTTATCAACTCATTATCCCACTATCCACAGTGACTTTTCCAAACCTTTTCATTCCTCCTCAAATCTCCTATGGCTTCCCTTCCCCTTACTCTCTCAGCTGAGAGCCTTCCCTCATATTTTACAGATGAAATTGAAGCCATTCTCAGAGAACCCTCTCTTCTCCTGTCTTCCTCATCTTCTATTACTTAGATGCCTCTACCACTAACTCCTCCTTCACTCCTGTCTTACATGATGAAGTGGCCTTACTGCTTACAAAGACTAAGGGATATGCTTTTCAAATGATCCCATGCCATCAGGTCTCCTCCAACAAATTGCCTCCACTGTCATCCTCATTCTATCACTTATTTTTAATTTCTCCCTATGTACTGGCTCGTTCCTACTACCTACAAATATGCCCATGTTTCCCCCATCCTGAAAAAACCCTTACTTGATCCTTCCATCCCTGCTATTCTTTTGCTCTTTACAGCTAAACTCCTCCCCAAATCCCCAAAGTGGAGGTGCCTCCACTTTTTCTCTTCTCACTCTTCTTAACTCCTTATAACTTGGCTTCTGACCTTATCATTTCACTGAGACTGCTTTCTTCAAAGTTACTAATGATCTCTTGCCAAATCAAATGGCATTTTCTCCATCCTCATTCTTCTTGACCTCTCTCCTGCCTTCTCCTTGATACTCTCTTCTCTCTTGGTTTTCAGGACACTACTCTCTCCTGGTTCTCCTCCTACTTATCTGACTGCTCCTTCTTTGTCTCCTTTGCGGGATCTTATTCCAGATCCTGCCCTTACCTTTAAAGTTCTGTCCTGGGCCCTCTTCTTTTCTCCCTCTATATTACTTCATTTGGTGATCTCATCAGCTCCCATGGATTTAATTCCCACCTCTATGCTGATGACGCTCAGATCTATGTATTCTGCCCCAATCTCTCTGCTGACCTCCAGTTTCACATCTCCAGCTGCCTTTCAGACATCTCAAACTCAGTATGTCCAAAATGGAACTCATTCTCTTTCTCCCCAAACTCTCCCCCCTCCTATTCTTCTTTTAAAAATGTATTTACTTTTAGTTTTTAACAGTCACTTCCAAAAGCTTTTGAGTTTTAAATCTTCTCCCCCTCCTTGTCCGTCTCCCTCCCCAAGGTGGCGTGAAACCTGATATAAGTTCTACATGTACATTTCCTATTAAATATATTTTCACATTAGTCATGTTATAAAGAAGAATTAGAACCCATAAGAGGAACCACCAGAAAGAAACAGAAGACAAAAAATAGCAAATAGCATGCATCGATCTGCATTCAAACTCCATAGTTCTTTTTCTGGATGTGGACAGCATTTTCCATCATGAGACTTTTGGATATGTCTTAGATCCTTGCATTGCTGAGTAGAACTGTATCAAAGTTAGTCGTTGCACAATGTGGCTGTTGCTGTGCACAATGTTCTCCTGGTTCTGCTCACTTCATTCAGCATTAGTCCATACAAGTCTTGCCAGGCTTTTCTGAAGACCATTTGCTCATCTTTTCTTTTTTTTTTTTTTAAATGGAAGCATTAAAATTTTTTTTTTTTAAATTTTATTAATTTATTTCAATTTATCAACAATCACTTCCATATGCTTTTGAGTTGAAAATTTGTCTCCTCCTTCCTCCCCCCCTGCTCATCATTTCTTACAGCACGATAGTATTCCATTACATTCATATACCACAACTTGTTCAGTTATTACCCAATTCATGGGCATCCCCTGAGTTTCCAATTCTTTGCCATCACAGAAAGTGCTGCTATAAATATTTTTGTCCATGTGGGTCCCTTTCCCACTTTTCTGATCTCTTTACCCCCTCCTATTCTTCCTATTACTATAGAGGGCCACACCATCCTTAGGCTCACAACCTAGGAGTCATCCTGGTTTCCTCTTCCCACATATTCAAGGTGTTACCAAGGTCTGTTGACTTCACCTTTGCAACATCTCTCAAATATGTCCCCTTCTCTCCTCTGACACTGCTACCACTCTGGTGCAGGCTTTCATCACCTCATGCCTGGGTTACTGTAATAGCCTGCAGGTGGGTCTGTTTGCCTTGCCTCTCTACACTCTAGTCTGTCCTCCATTCAGGCACTAAAGTGATTTTCCTAAAGCACAGGTCCAGTCATGTCACCCTCCCTC